CCCGGAAACTATTTATCAGGAACCCCGGAAACTATTTATCAGGAACCCCGGAAACTATTTATCAGGAACCCCGGAAACTATTTATCAGGAACCCCGGAAACTATTTATTAAGAACCCCGGAAACTATTTATTAGGAACCCCGGAAACTGTTTATCGGGAATCCCGGAAACAAAGAAAATTCCAATTACAAATTGGAGAAACTTTATCCGAAAAACCCCACATTTAGAAAACATATCAAAGGAAAACTTTTCAAGTTAAAGTTTTTCAATTTTATTTGTAAACTTTTTTACAAAATGTTTTTAAATTTACCCTTTATTGGTGTTGCTGAGAATTAGTCTCAATGTTCATATTCTAATTAATTCTCTGATTCTGCCAGTTTTAACCGATAAAATCCGCCAAATTACGATTATTAAACCGGTTTTTAAAAATCGTATTTTCCTGAATTTTTTAAATCGCGGGCTCAGGTGCCAAAACAATGGGATTTCTTTAAAAATCTGTTTGTCAATGAGAAAATAGTAATTCTTACTTTTATGAGATTGTAAACGTAGTTTAAAGTGTGACTCTTCATTGAAAATGTTTAACAATTGTTTGAGCAAAAATTATAAAGTTTTTTGAATTTGAAATAGTCTAAGTTTAAAATATGAAAGGTTTACACCATCAGGTTGCAAAGATATGGGGATCATACTTTTTAAGTGTATGGCAAAGACTCAATTCCTTTCCAAAACTTATCTCTTTATCAGATAGAAAATCAAATAAAGGCGTGAAGAGTACCGTTTGTGAATTGGGACATTCTATAAAGAATCTTTGAAATTATGGCGACCATTTCATGATTTATTTTCAGATATTTTGCAATAAAACGATTCCTTGTAAAAATCAGTTAAAGACAGAGAGATTACAACTTTACAACAATTTACGTTAGTTTACGTTAAACTTGGTTTTATTACTTTTTAATAAAACAAGTATCTTCATTCATTCATACACTTTGCTTGTCTGTTTGTTTGTATATTATAAACGTCAATACGGTGAAATTGATCCGGCCAATTTTTTTTGTAGTACCTCAATTGAACCCAGGGAAGGTTTATGAATGATAAAAATTTCAAAAATTTGCCTCTAACAAAATTCGATTTCGAATAATTTTCAACATCCACGATTTAAAAAAAAAATAAAATCCGCGAACTTTTTTTGTTTTTGTTTTACAATGTATTCAAAGAGAAAATGTTCACAATTGAAATAGAAGATGGAAAGCCTAGACTATAGACATAGGCAGTATAAAAATTCACTTTTGTGTTTTTCGGCGAAATGTTAGCTATCTTTGTGTTTTTTAAAAACACTAGAAATTCAAGGCGCTTCGCGCCCTTCTTTCTAGGCTTTTAGGACGCTTCGCGCCCATCTTCTATTTAAATTGTGAACATGTTCTTTTTGTTTACATTTCAAAACAAAGATGAAAAAACTTTTGCGGATTTTTAAAAAAAAATTCGCAGATTTTCAAAAATTTAAATTTTTTTACAAAATTAAAAACCTCTAAAACACAAATTTTTAAAACTTCAATCATTCATAAACCTTCCCTGGGGTCCCTAGATGTCCCACAAAAAATTTGGGCCCGATCGGTTCAGGCGTTTTGACGTTTATTGGATACAAACAGACAGACAGACAAACAGACAAAGAGCCAAACAGACAAGCCAAATTTATATATAGATGGAAGACAAATATACGATATTTCCACAAATCATTTATACACGAACAAATTGTATTTAGTTTACGCAAAAAATTAAGAATTGCGTGGTACTTATTAATACTCCTTTGGAACTTCAGTAGTTTAGGCGGGGCGGGGTTAAGTCTCCATAGGAATTTCGCGCAATTTGTGAAGATTTGCGCACCAGAAATTGAAGTCAAAAGAAAATGTTCAGTGCAAATTCAAAAGAAAAGTTTTTTAAAATTTAAAACAATATTACCGATATTATGTGTTAAGTATTATTACTTTAAATTAAAGAAAAAATGAGTAATTTCTGATTCTGAATTAATTTGTTTAAATCATTCATTGTACTTTGCAAAACTTACTCTTTTCACTTATTTCTTTAGAATAATGATTTATGTACTATTTTATAGCAAAAAGTAACATTACGGAGACAAATTGAAATTATGCATAAAATATGGGCAGGTTTAGGAGAAGCTTGTGTAATCATCCTCAAGCTTGCAGAGGAGTCTTTTTCTAATTTGAATGTTAGTTTTGGGAAAACAATTTTTTAAAGGCATTTTCTTATAGTTTAACCCAAATCTCTACATAATATCTATTCTGATCAGAGTTTAATGATGTTTCAGTATGATTATGACATCATTTATCATTATAGCTCTAGTTTCTCTTGTTTTGATGCAAATAGGGTCTTAATAGCACTTCAGGAAAAAAAACATAATAAAAAATGTCCAGGCAAAATATCCATCTTAATGATAATGTGAGATAAGTTAAAAATCTAGTTTTTTACCCTTCAGTAATTAATTTTAACCTTATTTGAGGTTTCCATTCAGACAAAAAAAAATATCTCCTTTGTTACAGAAATCTCTGCTTTCTAACATTTGCGCCCCTCCTAAATGATTTGTCGTGTTTGTCCCTTTAAGAGATCAGAGAGTCTATCCTTGAATCGAATTTTTGTTTTTCCCGAAATATTAAATTTTCTTACAAAGCTCTCTTTCAATGTCGTCTTAATATTTACAACATCTGAATTTTGGTAATCAAAAAATGAAGCTGTTACTGAGAAGTTTTAAACTTCTTTATGCTTCAGTATTGTATCTCTTTCCCCCCCTTCTCTTTAAAAAAAATGCCAATTATGCCAACGTTTCATCAGAGTCGTTTACAGTAAAATCTGTGACTGAGTCTGCAAGAGATCTGTTAAGTTTAACAGCATTGATGAGACTTCATATACTTAGGATTGTAAAACCTCCTTATTTGCAGTATTTATCAGAATTGTTTGATGCTGAAGGTCGGCTCGTCAAGAAAAAACTGTAAACAGATTGTTTACCGCCAGATCTGTGTACACTGGATACACCCCAATGCCGCAATACATAAAATTGTCCGATGTACTGTATGTCACCATTCGTTCTATACCTAAACCCTCGATTCCCTTCGAACCCTCATCTCTATCCTTATTGTAAAGACGACAGATTACATCCCTTTCAGTAAAATCTATGACTGAGTCCCCCTAGAAATAAAAAGTTAAGCTCTAACTTTAGAGAAATTCTTAAATAAACCTCTGTGTAACGTAGTAAGTTCATTTTCTATTTTCCTTTCTACAATTATTTCTATTTTTAATTGAAGGAATAAAAATGAATTCGTCAAATCTGAAAACTCCTCTTATGCGGTACTAACCTTGTATGTGTACAAATCATTTGTAAGTTGATATTGCAGAAATATTTAATCATTCCTAATTTAGAACTGCAGTCAGATATAGTGCATATAATCAATGTATCGTACAGTGGTAAACAGAAAACATTAGAATGATTTTTGGTTTCTCTTATCTGTACGAATCGTCTTTATATATATATATATATATTGTAGTGATTTTGTTGGTTTGTATTTACGTTCATTAACGATTCATGAACCCCAGTGAACCCCAAGCCCCGAGCCCGATTTGCCTCAAATTTTGAATTGGTAACTAAACCACGGGAATATTCTTAGCCAGGTTCTAAAGTTCAAATTTGGGTAGACGTTTATAAAGAAAACTTAATTTCCAGACATAGCTGGGTTCCCAAACTAGTTTAATATAAAATACCATTAAGAATTGGAATTTCTAATAGATTTAATAAAGCAGTCGCAAAATACAAATTCCTTAACCTACTAGATCTGCTAATTCACTCTTCTACTAAACCTACTAGATCTTGCATAAAAGACAGTGACCACAGAGCATTCCAATGTTTTCTGGCTACCACTGTAATCTATTTAGCGTAATGCATGTCGTGTGTACAAGTAAAATTAAACACAATTAAAAAAGAGAAGTTTTTAACTTTAAAGAAAGAAAACTGAAACTGCTGATCAAAATTCCTTTAAAGTTCTGAAGGAATGTTGAAGAAAAAACGAAACGTTTGAAACTATGAGAATATATATGTGGTATAGAACGTTTGATTTTTAACGCTTGGCCAATAACGATGGCGTTTAAATATTTGGCATCTAGTTTTTTTCCTCTAAACACGGTCTTGCAAATTTTTTTGTAAAATATTCTTCAATGTAAATGAAAATGTTAGATTTATTCATCTTAAACTAAAATATTATTTAAAATTGTAATATGTTTCATGTGTTAACGCTTATTTACGCATCTTTAATTTGAAACGTCCCACAAATGGAAATATTTAGTTAATAAAAAAAAAATATTTTTTTGAAAATCGGTAATGAGGTTAATTACAAGATTAAATAGTTTTTAAAGTGAAAATTACAGTTAATATTCTAATTATCGTACTAGATGTGCACTCAAGCCAGATAGAATCCCTTTTAACCAAATACCATAAATACGGAAGAAGAAAAAAACTATTTTCAATTATTGCCTAAAAAGAAAACACCAAGTTTTCAATTTATAATTCAGGGTATTTTAAATTACTTTTTTATTAAATCTCTATAGAAAATTAAGCTTCTCTAATTAAGCTTACATTTTGGTGTTTTCATACAGTGGAATACAAAAAAAAGTGGAAATGGAGACGACGTTTATTGCTTTAACAATCTAGGTAGTGTTTAGTTTAGTTTATTTTTCTTCCGGGAACCACTGTTTTTAATCCTAATATCAAATCATGCAGAATAATTATATGAAATATCTGTTAATTTCTCTCCTGCAAATGTTTTTTAAAAGATTACAGCTGTGATAAATCATACTTTTTTTAGATCTACAACATTCAAGTAGGCATCTAGTAGACTAACTTGTTAAATAGTTTTTATTTATAAGTTTTCTTTTAGGATTCATCATACAACCTCTCCGACACTTCCTACTCAGATTAAACCAGGTAATCCCTTCCCATCCCTTCCCATTCCATTCCATCCCTTCCTATCCTTTCCCATCCTTTCCCATCCCTTCCCATCCCTTCCCATCCCTTCCTATCCTTTCCCATCCTTTCCCATCCCTTCCCATCCCTTCCCATCCCTTCCCATCCCTTCCCATCCCTTTCCATTCCTTCCCATTCATTACTTTTTAATCCATCTTTTAAAATATATCTATTTTAGTTGAATTAAAAAGTAAAGAAACCAAGATGATTGATAAACTAACTGTTTTCTCTGCAGCTGGATTTCTTATAGTTTTGACACAGGTAATCTAGGCTAATTTTTAATTATTTTCATATATTTACCACTAACTGTGAAATGAATGTCGTCTTTGTTTTCCTTCCGAAATGTTCGAATTTTGTAATTTTAAATCGTTGCAACTGATATATCTACAAAAATGTTCAGGGGACCTTTTTTAAGTAAAGTTCAGTTGGAAAGTATTAAATCTTTGGTGACATTTCATGATTAAAAGAAAGAAGACATTTTTGTTTTTATTAATCATCTGAAAAATGAGAGTATTTCAAAATTCCATGTAGGTCGTCATCTAAATATCATTCTTTTAAATCTATTAATATAAAGTAGTAATCTCTGTTTGTTTGTTTGTATCGCCGATCATAACTAATCATACTATAACCGATTTGCCGCAAATTTTGATTTGGGAACTCTGTAGAACCACGGGAATGTTCTTGGCTAGGTTCTAAAGTTCTGAGTTGAATTGGTTGACTCTCATAAAGAAGATTTTGTTTAAAGGCGAAGCCGGGTCCACGAAACTGTTCGATGTGCATGTAAACGTATTTTTCACGGTACAACAAATCAAAGTATTAACTTTTATTTTGTTGACCACTGTATAATTGTAGATAATGTGTGAGGTTGCTAAGCAGATAATCAACTACTCTATGCAGTACTATAATGAGGGGAAGTATCCTATACCTCAAACTATTATTGTTGTTCTTGGAGAAATTATTAAACTAGGAATCACACTTGGAAGGTATGTGTCTTGATAAGCTATTTGTGTACCATGATGAAACTTTAAAAACAACCCAAAACATGACAATGGAAAGGTTAAATTTCATGCCTGAAATATAATCTTTTAATGGCTTATTCAATGATGATGAAATCGAGTTTAACTTTACAGAGAACCGTGAATATCAGGAAAAAGTATACATTCTGTAAATTCGTCTCTGAAGTCTCATCCTTTGTGGGTAACCCTATATTTATTCGGACCCATAAAACTGTTGCACTGGAAGACGACATTTAAACAATCTTGTAATGGATGTTGTTACTCAGAAAATAGAGTTGCCAGCAGACAGGGGCGGATTCAGGGGGGGGCGCG